CAGCCAAGTTCCTGAACCAGCATAACGCTGGATTTCTCCTGGTACCATCTGTGTCCGAACTGGGCAATGGCCCAACTTAAGTAGTGCTGGGCCAGGACTGAAAACCCACGGCCTGCGTTCTGGACCCGTGCAGATCGAAACTCCGATCCATGGTCCAGATCGCAGGCTTCGAGAACTGGTTCAGTCCTTGGCCTAAAACGGCCTGCCTGGGTCCCTACCGGACGTCCAGGCCATGTCCAGGATTAATCTTCCTGGTACCTGGCTTCAAACCGGTCCTGTGCGGACGTACCYGGCCTCAACGTCGGCCTGGGTCCGAACAGGTAGAAATCTGTTCGATAACAAAAGAAAAGGTCCAAACGTTTTTTTTGGCGCTCAGCCTCTGGGCCTGAATCTGGCCCTGGTCCTAAAACGTGTACCTGGCCACGGAACGGACAACAGTACACCCGTTAGAAAAACAGCAGCAAATAAATAAAATAAAGAATATAAAAATAATCTAAAGCTGGCGTTTTTCTGATGCAGGCCCAAGTAAAAATGCCATAGGGCCTTCAGGTTGCGGTGACGCGACCTGGGGGCCCTATTCCAACCTCGGGTCCCGTGAGGGGCCCGTGTGTAGGCTTTCAGCATGTAACAATGGGCCTATCCATCTACCCTGTCCTAGTTATCCACCCATCCCCACCATGCACCATAATCGTAGAGGGGCAGGGGTTGCACATTTTGTATATCCATCTACCATATCTCAATTTAGTCTCCTTGTCTGACAAGCATATCCAATTAACAGTCCTGACCTGGTAACGCCCATCATCTAACACACCAAACATAACACTCATACAATTCGAGCTAACACCAACGGGCCAAAGCATATCCTACAAAGTAATCCCATTCGACAGGAGCTCAATAGTGAGCCGCCAAGTATCGTCACGCCTGAATGCAAACCGTTTCAGTACTCGCATGAAGAAGTGCTCTGGAACATCATTCTTCGCCAACTCCCTCTTCAGGGTCCTAACTCTCCTTGGGATCTCATGACGAGTAGTTGTGTTCTGATCGATCCTATGCAGTCGGCTGCATAGTACCGCCCTTTTCTGTTTCTTACACCCCCATGAAATACGCAGCGGCTCACTCGTCCAGACACTTTCCTCGTTCTTAGAGATCTGCACACAACGCAGATACGGGTAAGATCGCTTCGTCCGTAATTGGCAACCTAGAAACTCAAAACAACATGCACCCTCATCAGTACGTTTCAAGGTCAGCGCAGCCGAATAACATTCTTGGAATAATTCCAAGATTTGAGCCCTTCGTGGTTCTTTAACCGCGAGTGTGATCATCACATCATCAACAAGTCTTAACCCATGAACTAGGCGTGAGTCCGAACCGATGCTCTTCACAAATCGGTATTCCGAATATGCACATAAAATACAGGCCAATGGTGGACTTGTAGCCTTACCCATGGGGATGCCAACCACTTGCTGGAGCAGGACCCCTGTGGCAAACGTGTAAGTATGCTGTAACTCCAGATGAATAAATTCCCTCATCTGCGTAAAGTCCAGAGCATGCCAATGATCTGCACCCGTGGTTATGCCAAAGGTTGATCCCTTTCCTCGAGTATTCACCCGTACCGACTGTCGGCCCTTTGGCCTATGAAAGTCAAACAGCCAATCAACCGCGATCAAAATCTCATCATGCGGGAGCCTGCTGAACATCTCCTTAATATCGAAGGAGGCCGTATACACTTCTTCACCTGCATCATGCCTAAGGATCTTCTGGTTGACATCCTTCAGCCTCGCGGCGAGTCCAGACACTGATACCAGGTTGAAGTGCCAACCCTTAGGTAAGGTCTTTAGCAAATGATTCAGGCCCCTCGAAACCGCACGACCAGTTCTTACCATGGGTTCACTATACGTAGGACAGATGGGTCTAAACCTCTCCACATCCTTCTGCTTCGGTATGACATAAGCTGAGCCAAATTTCCCATCCTTGTCCCATTTAGCAAATTTCGTCAAACCTCTCGTCGACACTTCCTCTCTGATCTCCCGTAACACCTCAGTAGGTGCCGCTTGGATAATTCTATATCCTGAATTCATAACGTAGGTAGACATTATTGCTTCAAAATACAGATACAAGCATAGCACCAATTTCTCGCGTGGGTTGCGATCAAGAGGGGTCAATACAAATCCCTGAAGTTTTACCTTCAGGTCATTGAGGTGGGCGGACGATAATTGGCCATTCTCCGCAATACGATCACTCAAGCATCGACGTAATACTTCATGCGGTATGCGTGGCAGATCCCCTTTCCAATTTCTCCACGTACTGAAGCCTTCCATCAACTCCCTGTGCAACTGCTCAACTCTATCTTCCCTAACAATTCGAGCGACATTCTTGGCATTACGCAATAGAGGGTGTATCCCTTCCATCTCACTAAGCCGGAAACGGACGTGCCCCCCCGATTTTGGGTAAGGCGAATTTGCGCAATTGCAGACCAGCACTTTGCGAGAAGAAAACACTCGCTGATTGTGCAAAACATCCGAGATAGCCGGGTTCTTAACACAGACAATTCGGACTTTCTTCCGCGCCCGGTTCAGAAAGCCTTGGGGTAAATCCCCACCCATCAACGCGTCATTCACCACTTTCCTTACTGCAGATGATCGGATCCTGTCGTCAAACTTAAGACGAAAGACGAGATCAGCGCTCATACTAAAATCAAAACGACGAAGAAAAACTCTGGAGATTAACCGGCGTAGATACTTCCTAGTCGACTTCCGACTAAAGTCCTTGATGGCACAATACAGTCGGAGCAGCGATCCGAGATTCCAATCAAACACCTCCTGTACTTTACGTGGATTACACAGAACACCCAAGAGAACCGACTTCAAATAACGGCATTTTGGTTTCCACTTCCACCAGTGTACAACCGTGAAAACACCTCCTTTTTGCAAAGCCTGTTTTGCGTCCTTCAGGGCCAGGTCCTTTCCTTCACATCGAATCTTCGTATCCCCAAAGGCACGTCTAACCCTCTTCCATCCCCCGTGCCAAACATTACCCCCATCCACCAGAATGCTCACATTAACTTCCCCCGTGGAGAACCCATCGTTCAACACTTGATAAAAATCCAAGCGCCACGACTCACTCTTTGATCGCCGAAACTTCAAAGCATTACAGTCAGCTCTGACGCTTTGATTGTGCCTCCCCTTCGCACGTTCCCTTTTCCCAGGCTTAGTTTTCTTCTTCGAGAAATTACGAGTTCCCGTCGTGTTCAGAAAAGGTGACCATTGTCTAATATGCAAACTTTCAAGTTTAATCAGATCATCACCCTCAATATGATCGACAGGTAGTAACACATAGGTACCCACCCCAAATGAGATCAGCCACCAGTGAAAGTGCGAAAGAACTCTAGATCTACACACACGCACATGTTCACGCCACCTCACCGTAACACATCTGTTAGTCTTACCGATATAGAAGTATTTGCAGTATGGGGAGACACCTACATAAACAACGTTTGTTAGCCTCAAGAACTCAATCCCATGGATATCATATAGTCTCTCCCACGCAGGTATATACTTCTGCATCCACCTGATCTCACCTGCCAGTGTTAGCCGCAAAACAATCAGACGCAAAATCTCCTTGATTCGCCCATCCACGCCAGTCGACTCACTTCTTAGGTCAGTAAACAGTTTACACAGCTTCCACAACTTCGGTATCTCCCAGGCATATCAGTGTTCCCGCCCTGCTTCTTGCTCCTTCCCAGATTCGCTGTCACCAACTTCAATGACCTCGGTAGCTTCGACAGTATCCTGACCAAACCTCTGCCGAGTGCGGCTATCTGCAATCGCGAAGATCGCCCCCACCTTCCCATCATATGTTACTCCCTCCTCTTTGCAGAGTCGTTGCAGCTCGGTTGCGTCGCAGTCCTTCAGTTCTTCCATAACGCTGCTCCGATATCGAAGTTGTTGTAGAGCGCCTTTAGTAGCAGGAGTGAACTGTAGAGCCGGTGACTTCATAGGAGTACCCTTCCTTGGTGTGCGTCCCTTCCTCGCCTTCAACGGTGTCTTCACCGGAGATACCCGTTTCACACATCCGGGATTCTTCACCACAGTCGTGGATCTTGTCCGTCTGGCTGAAAGCAACGCCGGCTTCAATACCCCACGTTTAGGGGTGCGCTTCGAAGGACCCTCCATAGGAGGGCTACCTTCAAGCACTGGATCCCGACCTCTCTTCCGTTTCTCCGAGATACATTGCTGCTCCGTCCTAGCGCTCAGCTCCTGAGTGACGCTAGTATCACTACCTTCACCCGCCTGAGTGTCCGACGATTCGCTGTCGGTAGCATATGCCACCTTCTTCTTGCCGAGTCTGACCAACTCCCTCAAAGGTACGATCACGCTCTCCACCCTGCAGGTAACGCTATCCTCCAATTCGCTCAGGCGAATAGCCAGCTGGATGTCGTTATCCTTCTTCATTTCAGCGCGTCTCTCCGCCTCGAGCTCCATTTGCTTACGATGCTTCTCAGCCTGCTTCCTTGCTTTGCGTTCCGCACGCTCCCTCGCTTCAGCTTCGCGCTCTTCCGCTTCCTTCCTTTCTTGCTTCTTACGTTCCTTCTCCAACTTCTTCAAACGAGCTTCGTCAATGAAGTCCTTCATTGCCGCCACTGATTTACCAAGTTCAGCAACCGTAACCTGGATTCCTCCAGCTCCTCCTGATGGTGACTCATATCTCCGTCTATAATCGGTGCGCCGTGGAGATCGGCTTCCTCTCGATTCCATCGATGTCGATGGTCTATCGGACCGAAAACTCCGTCGATGCCTATCCGGGCACTGATTAGCATAGTGCCCGGGCTCATGACATCTGAAGCATGTTGGTGCCCTATATCTCCTTCGGTCTTCCTCGTGTACTTCATCAACTCTCCTTATATCCGTCATCCTGTCGTCGGTACGACGGTAGTCCCCCCCTTGTCGGTCCTCATCACGCCGTTCATTCCCCGACATCCTCTCGTCAAGAAGATCCTCAACAATACGAACATCAGCGTCCCTATCTGACGATAGAGCTCGTACACCACGTTGTAACAGGGGTACGACGGCCATGCACCTTCAATTCACCCTCTCGTACTTGAGCAAAAACTCTTGGAGTCTTCAATTCCGTAGTCAAACCAAGACATCAGTCTTCGCAGCTGTAATGATCTAGTCAACACGGTGATGGAGTATGCACGGTCACTCCGCCCGGCAAAATTCGTTCTCCAGGCAAGTTATCGTGTGCGGTCCGCAGTCAGGTATAGAATCACACTTCATGCATAAAACATGAGTACGCTGGCGTACAAAACGCCTAGCACAGTATCAGACAATTGCAAAATCTTATTGAAAGAACTAGCACTTGAGATCGGCGTCCTCGACGCGTTTCGACGGCAGCCACGCCGTCGTCTTCAGGAGGTTTACCACCTACCAACCCGTACTAACCATGCAAACCCTTGCCCATTCCCGTCTGCTCAACCCTCACACGTCCGGACGCTCGAGGGCGTCGCGCGACGTTAGTCCCGTTGAAGAGGTCGAAAACTTTGCAATGATTGCCTATATACCAGTCAATTCCTTCCTACAAACAAAATCACGAGAAACATCAGGAAAAAAGCGAAAAACCAAACACGTCGGAACTGGCCAAGACAATATCGAGACCCAGACCCTACTAGAAAGTTCGTTCTTCCTACCAGTGGACTACCCAACAAGGATACCCAACAGTGGTACCACAGTCCTACTTAGACTGAAGTGGTCTGGGCACAAGATAAAGCGAAAAACGATAAGAAACAAAAAATCAAACAGTGCCAGGTCTAGGATACTCGATGCATACATCCATTCACCCTGAGCATTACGTCCGAATTCCTTACCAAATTTGAAAGAAAAAAAAAATACACAGAATAAATACAAAAAAAAAAGAAAAAAAAAAAGAATTAAATTTAGTGAGTGCGCGAGCATGTTTTTGACACCGCCATTTTTGGCGATTTTTCATTTTGTTTGGCATAGCTAAATGCCCTGAAAATTTACAGATGTGTACTTCACATGATACAAAACCCACTAAAAAAGTTTCAAAAAATAGTAAAATTGTTTAGACCCCGAACTAAAGTGAAAACAAAAAGTAAAATGTGAAAAAAAACGTGGGCGAGCACGTTTTGACACCGCCATCTTTGGCGATTTTTAATTCTTATTTGGCTAAGCCAAATGGTTTGAAAATTTATAGGCATGTACCTTATGTCATAGAGAACGCATAAAAAACAATTCAGAAAAAAAAAAAAAAAATTAGGCCCTGAAATATTTTTTGGCGGGGGTCGAATGCCGTCGGGTTCGGACCCCGTACGGGACGCCGAACGCCCGAACGTACGGAGGTCCATACAGCGTTACCAGCCCGTACGTACGGAGGCCCCCGGGCGGACCTGTTCGGGCGTCTGGGGTCCCGTACGGGGTTCGAACCTGACGGCGTTCGGCCCCCGCCAAAAATTATTTCGGGCCCTAAAAATAATTTTTTTTTTTTGATTTGTTTTTTGTGAGTTCTCTATGACGTGAGGTACATGCCTGTGAATTTTCAAGTCATTTGGCTAAGCCAAATAATAGTTAAAAATCGCCAAAGATGGCGGTGTCAAAACGTGCCCGCCCACGTATTTTTTCACTTTTTACTTTTTGTTTTCACTTTAGTTCGGGGTCTAAAAAAAATTATTATTTTTTGAAACTTTTTTAGTGGGTTTTGTATTATGTGAAGTACACATCTGTAAATTTTCAGGGAATTTAGCTATGCCAAAAAAAAATGAAAAATCGCCAAAGATGGCGGTGTCGAAAACATGCTCGCGCACTCACTAAATTTAATACTCTTTTTATTTTTATTTATTTGTATTATTAGTATTTATTTTCCATATTTTATTTTTATTTCAAATTTGGTAAGGAATTCGGATGTAATGCTCAGGCAAATCTTGTTTAATTTATTTTTCTCCATAACATATCTTTTTTTCAGATTTTTTTGATGAACTTTTTTTTTTTTTTTTGGGTCCGCATTCGGCCCGAACGGCCCAACGCATCCCGAAGGGGTCCCATACGTTCGGGCGTTCGGCCCGTCCCGAACGCCGGTTACCCTGATGAGTCGGTGAAACTCCGATGAAAGAGTTTGTCACAGCCCCTCGTTTGTTGTCCTCTTCTTTCTCTCTGCCTACGGTTTACCGGGCAGTTCTGTTTGCGACGATATATAGCGGGCAGTTCTGTTTGTGACGATATATGCTACGACTTCGCTAGCTTCCTGCTACGGTTTTTTCCGGTCAGGTCGAGCAGCAGTGGTCGGGGCCGTTACTAGGCGGCCATGCTGTGCCTCTAGTGCCAGCAGCGTGTCTGGAGTGTATTTTTTGGCTGTGACAGACATTTCTTTGTTTCGTGGATGTTTTGCTGGCTTGTGATGGGGTGTGAACCGACAGTCTGTAGAGTTTTCCATCTGGTGTGGGTGAGTGATAGTCTACTTTGATTTTGGTTAA